AAGATTGAGGGCAGGAGGAGAAGGGGATGACAGAGGATGAGATGGTTGGATGGCATCACCGACTCAATGGACATGGGTTTGAGTAAACTCTGGCAGTTGGTGATGGACAGGGAGGCCTGGCGTGCTGCGATTCATGGGATCGCAAACAGTCGGACACGACTGAGCGATTGAACTGAACCAATACATATCTTTCTCTGTGTGACTAACTTTAAGGTATTGAAACTTTACCTTCAAAGTTCCCCATCACTAACTCCAATTTGTTTCATTCTGTGGCTTTCTTCTACAGTATACTGATCAATAGCAGACAACAGATAAACAAAAGGTCTTACTCTATAGCACAGGGGATTATATTCAATATCCTGTGATAAACTATAATGGAAAAAAACGTGAAAAAGAATGTGTATACAGGCATTTCTGAAGCACTTTGCTGTACACTAGAAATTAACACAACATTGTAAATCAACTTTGCTGTTGTTCAGTCGCTAAGTCCTCTCTGACTCTTTGCAACCCCATGGACTGTAACATGCCAGGCTTCTCTGTTCTCCACTATTTCCCAGAGTTTGCTGAAATTCATGTCCATTGAGTTGGTGCTGCTATCTAAACATCTCACCCTCTGCCAACCCCTTCTCCTTTTGCCTTCAATCTTTCCCAGCATCAGGGTCTTTCCATTTAGTTAGCGGTTCGCATCAGGGGGCCAAAGTACTAAATTTCAATAAAACAAATGAAAAAAAATATATGTATATACTGATACTGTTGTGCAGACTCAGTTTATGTCTGCGATGGAGTCTGTCTCTAGAAACTTAAGTAAAATGGGGGTGATCTCATAGCCACACCTCTGCTCACTAACTATAAAGACCAAGGGGTTTTGGTTAATAGGTAAATTAATTAATAGACATATTTAGTTCATATGCCAACACTGGCCACATAGTCTAGCTTTTTTTAGGAATCAACCCTCTCTGGAGGAACTTTTCACTACAAAGTCACCCCTTCTTGTATTTATGCCCGACAAGCACAGCTTGACCATCTAACTTCATTTGTCTCATTGCATTGAGCTTGTCATTCTAAATGATTTTATTTCATCCTAACTCATCTGAAGCCCGCACTATAGTCACTATAGATTCATTCTAATTCTTAACCATCTCATTCCAGAAACTCTGATGACTTTATGTTTATACATTGTAAATACTATTTCTAATAAAATGATAATGAATTGCCAGGGCCCTTCAAATTTGTAAATAATGGGAATATTTTTCTAGAAACAGCCAATTACACTAGCTGGGAAAGTCATTCTATCAGGAGCACTTACCCTTCAGCTGATTTCAATGTCAGAAAACCTCTTCATTCTGATTATTCCTTCAGTTTAGAGTCAGCCAAGACTACAGAGATACTATGTAAATGGCTTAAATGGAAGAAGTATAACAATAATAATTCTTAATGAGGAGACAGACTGGCTCAGCAGAAGCCTGGAAACCTGGAGATGGAGGAGTAGCCTCCTATTTCTTCACTAATGTGTTCTGTGACCTTGGGCCAATCGTTTGGTCTGTATGAAAGCACTTGGCTCTCAGTGAGCGGAGTCTGGCAACGCAAGGTGGGGAGAGGAAGACAGGACCGGAGGAGACACTGGCCGTGGATCACTTGCCACGTGCCAGGCACTGCGCAGGATGACTGGGTTCACTGCTCAAGAAAGCAGGAGGTAAGAATAACCCCCATGTTACAGATGAGGAGAGGGAAGCTCAGAGACAGTCAATTCCCACAGCCAGGAAGTGGAGGAGGCAGAATGCAGACTCAGGTCTACCTGATTCTGTGGTGAAATTCCCTTACACGCCTGATTTGCCTTTGTGCTATTTCCAAGAGGCTCAAACAAGATGATACTATAATCTCATCGTAACTAGTAAAACTCATAGCAAGACTCATAGTAAGACTAGCGAACTTCATATCCAGATCAGGGAGGGGTAACTCAGTTGCACTGAATGGAAGGGCTGGAGACTCAGGAAGGGGTCTAGACTCTGACCCTTGCAGTGGTCCCCAACCTTTTTGGCACCAGGGACTGGCCTGGTAGAAGGCAGTTGGAACTGGGGGTGTCATGAGGGGTGGTTCAGGTGGCATGGTGAGCAGCAGGCAGTGATGGGCCCTGGGGAGCAGTAGGTGAAGCATCACCAACTGGCCACCTGCTGCTCACCTCCTGCTCTTCATCCTGGTTCCTATCAGACTGGGGCTGGGGACCCCTGCATTAGTGTTAATGTAGAGTCCTCTGGTGCTCTGAAAAAGGCTTGAGCTTGACTTTGGGATGAGGGAGGAGATGCTGACAAAGTCATGTGTTCCCCATCCTGATGGCAAGTGCTTCCGCTGGCACTTTTGGTCCTGCCCGCTTCTGAATCCCCCTCTATTTATGTGGAACATGTGTTAGCTGCACCCCCTGGCTGAGATGTATCCCCTTCTTCCAGCACTCCTGCAATGGCCTCCTAAGGGGTTTCCTGATTCCAGCCTCAGCCTCTTGGAGCCTCTCATCACTGAAAGTGAAAGTGAGAAGTGAAGTCGATCAGTCGTGTCTGACTATTTGCAATCCCATGGACCCTCCATCCATGGAATTTTCCAGGCAAGAGTACTGGAGTGGGCTGCCATTTCCTTCTCCAGAGGATCTTCTCATCACTGAAGGAACAGTAATTTTTCCCCTGAGGACAATAAAGAGTAATCAAGAGATTCAAACAAGAAATTAGACTTACAGTTTAGGAAAATTAAACTCTGAGCAATTAATGCATAATGATCTTCCCCTTTTATCTCTTTAGCCATTGTTTCCTTCCACCCATTCCCTCCAGGCAAACTGAGTCCAGAATTGTCCTTCATGGATTATTCTGCCTGACAAGCTCCTCCACCTGAGGCCCACACCCATGGTCTTGCTGAAACATTTCTATGAAGCAGTCCTCCTTACCCCACACACTTGGGAAGTCCCCCAGAGACCCTCACCCACAGCCCTCACGACTCGCTCGTTATGTTGAAATGGCTTCTTCATCTCCCTCCAGAGTGTGAGCCCCTCAGAGACAGGGGCTGCCTCACTCCCACCGCTCCCGGGGTGGGAGTCACAGCTCCCGGGGCCCTGCTGGGCAGCGGTCCCTCCTAGATGTTAGCGGAATACGAGTGGCTCTGCCTCTTCTCTTCTGAAAGGTGGTTGGATGAGGGAAATACACTGATGGTGGGGACCAAGGAGCTACAGAAACTTGGGACAATCCTTTGACCATCTTGGGCTTCCCTCGTGGCTCAGATGGTAAAGAATCTGCCTGCAGTGCAAGAGACGTGGGTTCAGTCCATGGGTCAGGAAGATCTCCTGAAGAAGGGAATGGCCACCCACTCCAGTGTTCTTGCCCAGAGAATTCTATGGACAGAGGAGCCTGGTGGGCTACAGTTCATGGTGTCACAAAGAGTTGGACATGACTGAGCGACTAACACTTTCAGTTTCACTTTAACCATCTTAGACCTTGATTCTTCTGTAAAATCAGGAGAGAAAAGAGACAGACATTTTGTGAGGATCCATCTTCTCTGACATTCTAGCTTTTTGGTTCCTTGGGCACAAAGGTGAGAATGGTGATTTAAGAACAAGTAGTGGGGGATTTTCCTGGTGGTTCAGTGGCTAAACTCTATGCTCCCAATGCAAGGGGTCTGGGTTCAATCCCTGCTGGGGGAACTAGATTCCACATGACACAACTAAATATCCTGCATGCCACAACTAAGACCTGGCACAGCCAAATATATAGAGAGAATAAATATTAAAAAACAAACAAACAAGAAACAGGCAATGCTCAAGGAGGTGGGCGTCCATGGGATGGGGAACCTCAAAGTCTAGAGTATTGGTCTCCTGCAATCCTGGGCCCAGGCTAGGGCTGTGGAGAGTGACTGCGTCAGCATTGGCCGAGTGTCTGAGCACTGCTAAGAAGCTTCCTGGGGAGGGAGGAGGACATACTCAGCCTCAGAGAAAACCCCAAGTAGCCACAGTCCAGCCTTGAGGCAAGCGCCCCCAGCAGTCCTGGACTGCTGACTGGAAGAAGCCCCAAAAGGACCACTGGCTTTCAGGGAGCCTGAGACCTCTCCCCAACAAAGTCTCGCCATGACCGCTTCCTGATTCCGAGTCCTCAGCCCCTGGCGGTATTGAGCACTATACTTCCCAGTGCACTGCTTGATGAATGAACGAATGAAAGGCCACAGCCATTTAGCACCTTAGTCTTGGGAAGTCACATGCAAAGTCTGATGCCATGCAGAATTCATTCTTAGCAGTTATTTATCTTTCTTCTTATTTCCCAAATCTTCCCTTCCCAGACTCCACCCACACACTCACTTACCCAGGCTTTCTTCATCTGAATATCCAATCAGTCAGAGAAGAAGTCTGTAAAATTGGAATTGGGGGTAGGGAGTGGCATTCCCTTCCCAGCTCTGGTGTCACATTTGGGTGGAACCAGAAGCAGGCCCAGGGCTGGGCTTATAAAAGCAGGAGGTAAGAAAACCATTCACTACTGTCACAGCTGTTGCAGCTCCTGCCGATCGTCCTTGTTCCTTCTTCTCCGAAGGTAGGCACTGGCAAGGTGAAGAGGACCACCTTCAGGCTACGGGATGGCAGGGTTTCTTGTATATGGAGTGGGTAGGGGGTGTTGGGGGGGAATTAGAAGGATGGGAGAAATGCAGGGGAATGGCTGAGCCCCGACATGTTTGAGGGAAAGCCCACATAGGAGAAAGGACGGAGGGGCCAGGACTGCTTGGAAATACCAGCTACAGCCCTGGGATCATGACCCTTGCCAGGGTGCAAGCCTGTAAGTCGCTTCCTTTCCAGCTGGTGCCACTGTGTCCCAGGCTCTGGGCTAGGCCACGATGTAGGGAGGGGGTGCTGGGGCAGAGCAGGAGGAGAGGAGGGGTAGCAAGAGGCGGGTCTTCTGCCGGACGTCTGGACCTCAGCCTCTCCCCACGCTCCCCTCCCATGCTCCAGTCAGCAGTGACTGAAGGAAGCAACCACCACAATGGGCAAAGAGAAGACGCACATCAACATCGTGGTCATTGGCCACGTGGACTCTGGCAAGTCCACCACCACCGGGCACCTCATCTACAAGTGTGGGGGGATTGACAAGAGGACCACTGAGAAGTTTGAGAAGGAGGCAGCTGAGGTGAGGCACCCACCCGCGGGGTTGGCTCTAGGGGTGGCGGGGGTGCGGATGGCAGCCTGCCTCTGGCTGGGTCTGGTGGCAGAGTGTGGAAGCAGGGTGCACTGTGAGGTCTTAGAGTGGCTGCTGAATCCCCCGGGAGAGATCCAGCTGCTCACCATCAATACGCTCCTCACCCCTCACCCCTCCCCAGATGGGTAAGGGCTCCTTCAAGTATGCCTGGGTGCTAGACAAACTGAAGGCAGAAAGAGAGCGTGGCATCACCATCAACATCTCCCTGTGGAAGTTTGAGACCGGAAAGTACTACATCACCATCATCGATGCCCCTGGCCACAGGGACTTCATCAAGAACATGATCACCGGCACCTCCCAGGCGAGCAGCCCTTGTTCCCAGGCCCCTCCCTTTCGAATTAGGGTGGAGGGTAGGGGAGGTGGCTGGCAGAGGGAGGGGAGGAAACTCAGGCTTTATTTACTCCGGGAGGAAGGGCATCATAAGCCTTAGAAGGTTTTCCTTATCCGCGTCGACCTTCAGTTCTGACCAATAGGAAGACAGACTCTACTGCGGTCCAGACACCATCCTCCTTTAAGGCTGGGGCAGGGACTAGGTTTTCTGACACCCAGACAAGTAGATCACCTTGTGGGGCTCCTGAGGAAGGAACCAAAAGCTCATGTATGGGACTGAGTAACAGTTTAAGTGGGAGGCAGGACCTCTGCGCACAGCAGCATCCGGGGGATGAAGGCATTTGTCAGTTTCTGGGGGGCATCCAGCCCGCAAGGGGCGGGGGATTGCCCGAAGCTCTAGCCAGCCTCCCAACACATCAGGCGCTCCCTCCCCTAACTAGCCTCTTGTCCCCACGATGTCTGCCTCCCGCAGGCCGACTGCGCCATGCTCATTGTGGCTGGCGATGTGGGCGAGTTGGAGGCAGGCATCTCTAAGAACGGGCAGACCCGGGAGCACGCGCTGCTCGCCTGCTTCTTGGGTGTGAAGCAGCTGATCGTGGCGGTCAACAAGATGGACTCGACCGAGCCTGCCTACAGCGCCGCGCGCTTTCAGGAGATCACCAAGGAAGTGAGCGCCTACATCAGGAAGATCGGCTACAATCCGGCCACCGTGGCCTTTGTGCCCATCTCGGGCTGGCACGGAGACAACATGCTGGAGCCCAGCACCAAGGTGAGTGCAGGCGGGGTCTATGGGCGCCGGGCGCGGGGCGGAACAGGTCTTGGTCCTGGGATGGGCACGCCGGGAGCCACACCCAGGCCTCGCCTCCCTCTTCACCGCATCCCCGTTCCCGCAGATGCCCTGGTTCAAGGGCTGGAAGGTTGAGCGGAAGGAGGGGAACGCCGCCGGGGTGACCCTGCTGGAAGCTCTGGATTCCATCCTCCCCCCAACTCGCCCGGTCAACAGCCGCTGAGGCTGCCGCTACAGGACGTGTACAAGATCGGAGGTGAGGGGCCAGGGCTGGGCGGGCTGAGGGGAGACGCCGCTGGAGGACGAGGTCCGGGGTCTGACTTGCTGGGCTTCAGATCCTGCCTAACCGCCTGCCCTTCTCCTGCGCAGGCATCGGCATGGTGCCCGTGGGCCGAGTGGAGACGGGCTTCCTGAAGACCAGCATGATGGTCACCTTTGCCCCCAGCGGCCTCACCACTGAGGTCAAGTCTGTGGAGATGCACCATGAGGCCCTGTCGGAGGCCCTGCCCGGGGACAGCGTGGGTTTCAACGTGAAGAAAGTGTCTGTGAAGGACATCCGCCGTGGCAACGTGGCTGGAGACAGCAAGAACGACCCCCCGATGGAGACCGGCAGCTTTGTGGCCCAGGTGAGCCGCCCAGGAGGCCAGAGCCCTTGGTGTGTGGTGGGGTGGCGGAGACTGCCTCTTAGAAATCAGTCTGGTTTCAGCGGAGGCCCCAGGCCGCTGGAGGTTTGGCCCTGGATCACAGGTCCCAGCAGATCTCTTCTGATCCCTTCTCCTCCTCTCCCCACCAGGTGATTGTCCTGAATCATCTGGGACAAATCCAAGCTGGCTACTCTCTGGTGCTGGACTGCCACACAGCCCACATCTCCTGCAAGTTTGCTGAACTGAGGGAAAAGATTGACCGGCACTCGGGCAAGAAGCTGGAAGACAACCCCAAGGTCGTGAAGTCAGGCGACGCAGCCATCGTGCAGATGGTCCCCGGCAAGGCCATGTGTGTGAAGACCTTCTCCGAGTACCCGCCTCTAGGTGAGCCGGGTGAACGGCTGCTGAGTCTTGGGAGGAAAAGCACCTCTGACTGAGGCCAAGGAGCCGTGCCTTCTGTGCCTCTTCAGAAATCTCACTTTTTTTTCTGTCCTCCAGGCCATTTTGCCGGGCGGGACATGAGGCAAACAGTGGCCGTTGGCGTCATCAAGGCTGTGGAGAAGAAGACAGCGGCTTTGGCCAAGGTCACCAAGTCAGCAGTGAAGGCCAGCAAGAAATGAAGCGCGTCCTTCTCCTGCGCCATTTTCTCAGCAGCCTCTACTGTACGCGACACTTCTATGACTGAATAAAAATTAGTAGTAAAACTTCTAGCCGGTTTGATTTCCTCCAAGAAGGAAAGAAAGCATGACATGAGTGAAGAGACTGGGTAAAGAATCAGTTTAAGGGCCACAGGCTTGGAAGCATTTTATGCCCTGGCTGGTTAGCACACCATTCAGGTCTTAATCTTCTCCTGTTCCCCACAAGGAAGCATTGTTTGGGAATGTGATGAAGTAGAGTCACAATGGCATAGGGTGAGATCCCAGGGCTAATAGGTGAGTCCAACACTACCTTGTCCAAGGGCTGAGTTTGCCAAGAGAATGCACTGGTTGTAGCAAACACCCTCTCCCAACAACACAAGAAAAGACTCTTCACACGGGCATCACCAGTTGGTCAACACTGAAATCAGATTGATTATATTCTTTGCAGCCAAAGATGGAGAAGCTCTCTATACAGTCAGCAAAAACAAGACCGGGAGCTTACTGTGGCTCAGATCATGAACTCCTTATTGCCAAATTCAGACTTAAATTGAAGAAAGTAGGGAAAACCACTAGACCATTCAGGTATGACCTAAACCAAATCACTTGTGGCTACAGTGGAAGTGAGAAATAGATTCAAGGGATTAGATCTGATAGACTGTGGATGGAGGTGCCTGACATTGTACAGGAGGCAGTGATCAAGACCATCACCAAGGAAAAGAAATGCAAAAAGGCAAAATGGTTGTCTGAGGAGGCCTTACAAATAGCTGAGAAAACAAACTAAAGGCAAAGCAGAAACAAAGATACACCCATTTGAATGCAGAGTTCCAAAGAATAGCAAAGAGATAAGAAAGACTACCTCAGTGATCAATGCAAAGAAATAGAGGAAAACAACAGAATGGGAAAGACTAGAGATCTCTTCAAGAAAATTAGAGATACTAAGGGAATATTTCATGCAAAGATGGGCACAATAAAGGACAGAAATGATATGGACCTAACAGAAGCAGAAGAGATTAAGAAGAGGTGGCAAGAATACACAGAAGAACTATACAAAAAAGATCTTCATGACCCAGATAACCATGGTGGTGTGATCACTCACCTAGAGCCAGACATCCTGGAATGTGAAAGCAAGTGGGTCTTAGGAAGCATCACTGAACAAAGCTAGTGGAGGTGATGGAATTCCAGCTGAGAGCTGTCCCAAACCCTAAAAGATGATGCTGTGAAAGTGCTGCACTCAATATCCCAGCACATTTGGAAAACTCAGAGGCCACAGGACTGGAAAATGTCAGTTTTCATTCCAATCCCTAAGAAAGGCAATGCCAAAGAATGTTCAAACTACCGCACAATTCCACTCACCTCACACACTAGCAAAGTAATGCTCAAAATTCTCCAAGCCAAACTTCAACAGTTTGTCAACCGTGAACTTCCAGCTTTTCAAGATGGATTTAGAAAAGGCAGAGGAACCAGAGATCAAACTGCCAATATCCGTTGCATCATTGAAAAAGCAAGAGAGTTCCAGAAAAACATCTACTGCTTTATTGACTATGCCAAAGTCTATCACTGTGTGAATCACATTAAACTGTGGAAAATTCTTTGAGAAGGGAATACCAGACCACCTGACCTGCCTCCTGAGAAATCTGTATGCAGATCAAGAAGCAACAGTTAGAAGTGGACATGGAACAACAGACTGGTTCCAAATAGGAAAAGGAGTACATCAAGGCTATATATTGTCACCCTGCTTATTTAACTTATATGCAGAGTACATCATGTGAAATGCCAGGCTGGATGAAGGTTGGATGAAGCACAAACTGGAATCAAAATTGCCGGAAGAAATATCAATAACCTCAGATATGCAGATGACACCATCTTTATGGCAGAAAGCGAAAAAGAACTAAAACTCTTGATGAAAGTGAAAAAGGAGAGTGAAAAAGTTAACTTAAAACTCAACATTCAGAAAACTAAGATTATGCATCCCGTCTCATCACTTCATGGCAAATAAATGGGGAAACAATGGAAACAGTGACAGACTCTATTTTCTTGGGCTCCAAAATCACTGCAGATGGTGATTGCAGCCATGAAATTAAAAGATGCTTGCTCCTTGGGGAAAAAGCTATCACCAACCCAGACAGCATATTAAAAAGCAGAGACATTACTTTGCCAACAAAGGTCCGTATAGTCAAAGCTATTGTTTTTCCAGTCGTCATGTAGGGATGTGAGAGTTGGAGTATAAAGAGAGCTGAGCACCGAAGAATTTATGCTTTTGAACTGTGTGTTGGAGAAGACTCTTGAGAGTTTCTTGGACTGCAAGGAGATCCAACCAGTCCATCCTAAAGGAAATCAGTCTTGAATATTCATTGGAAAGACTTATGTTGAAGCTGAAACTGCAATACTTTGGTCACCTGAAGAACTGACTCCTTTGAAAAGACTCCGATGCTGAGAAAGTTTGAAGAGAAGAGAAGGGGATGACAGAGGATGAGATGGTTGGATGGCATCACCAACTCTATGGACATGAGTTTAAGTAAGCTCTGGGAGTTGGTGATGGACAGGGAGGCCTGGCATGCTGCAGTCCATGGGGTCACAAAGAGTGAGACACGACTGAGTGACTGAACTGAACTGAACTGAACCATGTCCTTGGAATCCTGGTGCTCAGTGCTTTAGCATTCAGAGCCCTGAAACAGAAAATGCCAAATTCTCTTAGGCAGAAGAGGTATGATAAATGGATGTTTGGGCTTGAGCTGTTCAATTAAGTTAGGTTACTATGTCTAGATGGTGAGGAATGAACAGAGCTTTGTAGCCTTTGTTCTCTAATTTTTGTTTTCCCTTTTTTTTTTTTTGGATGCAGCAGTATATCTCATGGAATTTTATAAGCTATATCATATGTCATCATGTACTGGGAATCAAGTCTTTCAGATCTGCCTGTGGTGTATTCATTCATCAATTTGGCAGATAATTTGTGCCAGATGGTAGTCTAATCCCTTAGACTTTACCTAAAGTGTAGAACTATCAGGTGATAAATGCATAAAAGCAAGTGAGCAGTAAGAAGAGTAGAGGTGGAAAGTAGACCATGAAAATTGTAAAGCAGTAAAAATTTCCAGTCATCCCAGCACGATGGCCACTTGGACCAGGAGGATAGTCATGATGGAGATAAGCGGTGAGAAATTCTGAATATATTTAGAAACTGACAAATATTTAAAAATTGCATGTGAGATATGAGGAAAGGCAGTTGAAGGTGACATCTAGTTTCTTGGCGTGTGGAATTAGAAAGATTGGACTTCTATCATGAGAGGTGGGAGTGGATTGCTAACTAAAAGAGATGCTAGTCTGGAGAGGAGAGAGGTCCAGGCTGAGATAATCAGGGAAGTAATTAAAACATGGAAAGTGGATCCCTTGCCCAGAAGCATCTGCATGGAGGTGCTAAGACATGCACATACACTTACCCTTCCTGGAAGTAAATTAATCAGTTGCATAACCATTGCAATCAGTTCTCTACTGGAAAAGTCATTGCTCTTCAAACATTGAGAGTGCAATTAAAATGAATCAAAGTCTAACAGGACTGTGGGAGCTCTTTCAGAAGCCAGGTTGGGAATGAGCAGGAAGTGGATATTCCTAATCACTATGGAAATTTGATGTTCAAGATTTAGACCAGGTTGAAAGAGACTTATTTTTTTTCCCACTGATCAATAACATTGCTGTTCCTGCCTGTCAAGTTGGCTCCCTTTCATTCACAAATCCCCAGGGAAACCCCACACCTAGCACAGACCTAGAAATAATAACAGGACGACACGTCACCGTGCCAGGTATCAAAAAGCTCACCTGTCTCCAGTGCTGGGAAGCTTGTCAGATTTCAGCTGCTGTCAGCATGAAGCGGCCTAAAGGAACCTGGAGCATCTCAAGCTTTTCAATGTCAAAGGCTACCCAAACTGAGATGAGTGCAGGGGCTGTGGTTGGTATGGAATGTAAATTGCTCACCTGTTGGATTCCTCATGCCTCCTAGGGCCTGTGCAGAATGGTTAGTCCTTTTTGTCCTCAGAACACTTTATTTAAAATTCTCTAAATCATAACCACAGTTTTGCTTAGAATGATTGGGGAATTAAATTTCCACTTAGGTGCACCCTTAATATGTACTCAATAAACATTTGTTGACTTGTGAATGAATGTCAACCTGCTTTTATTGAGAGAAGTGAATGTGTTAATGCTAATTTATTGTTTTTTTTTATGTAGACTAGTGTTAAAGTCTTTATTGGATTTGCTACAACATTGTTTCTGTTTTATGTTTTTGCTTTTTTGGCAGCAAGACACATGGGATCATAGTTCCCAGACCAGGAATAAAACTCATACCCCCTGCACTGGAAGTCAAATTGTTAATCACTGGACCATCAGGGAAGTCCTGCTAATTTAGTCTTAATTCTTAAGAACAATCATGGTTTTGATCCGTGTTTAATAAAGATGCCGTTTTAATTTGGAAACAAAAAAGAAAAAGTGTCATGGTTAATGCTCTAAGTACCATATTCTCTACTCAGTAATTCTACAGTGGGTGGGAGCAAACATTGCTCGTAAGCAACAGAGTCTCATCTCATTAGAAACTCCAAGAGTCTTTCTATACAGCATTGCAAAGAGCCACCATAATTAGCCAAAGTTTGGCACCAGACTAGCAGTTCAGACTAGTAGTGAGGGCTCTGACATTTAACCTAAGAAGTAGTTTCTTCTGGCCCAGTCCCCCTCCTTTAGTCCTTAGCATAATGTTGTAAGTGGGCCTAAGGCGCCTTAGAGTAGAGTATGTGAGTCGCTCAGTCATGTCCAAGTCTTTGCAACCCCATGGACTGCAGCCTGCCAAGCTCCTCTGTCCGTGAAATTCTCCAGGTAAGAATATTGTATCGGGTAGCCATTCCTTTCTCAATGGGATCTTCCAGACCCAGGTATTGAGCCTGGGTCTCCTAATTTGTAGGTGAATTTTTTTACCATCTGAGCCACAAGGGAAGCCCCAG